CTACTACTACTTCTTCTTCTATTACTATAACGATTACTAGTGCTACTATGGCTCATTTCTCTTACTACCCATAATGCATCTATGACCCCTTTCAACCCGGACTTGAGAAACCCTAAAACCGTAAATCCTAAACCCTAGAACCCCAAACCCTCAAATCGTAAACCCTAAACCGCGGCTCAACTAGACGACCTGTCCTTTTTTAGAGGCTCACAGATCTCCAAGGAGTCAAAGCGGGTGTTGCTGAAAAATCCAGAACTATGAATCGCATTCCTGGGCAGAAGAATTCCGTTGTGCAAATGGGGGGTTTAGGGCTTAGGTACAAAGTATAATTTTCAGTGGTAGAACTTATGGGGGGCCCAAGGTTTAGGTACAAGTAGCTGGGCATCTGAGATTGCTCAATTCTGCGCATTCGCACACCTATCTGCCGAAGCATCAAAGACGTTAGACCACTCGGCTTGGCTTACGTGGAAGAAAAAAGAAGTACTAAAAACCTAGGACATAGGATGTCGAAAAGGTTTTAGGGTTGAATGAAGATAAGCCCAAATGCTGCACTTCTTCGGTTGGTGGCCCTTCTTCCTTCTCGTCGTTCTCCTCCTGGGGCTCTGAAGGTGCAATTGAAGATGAAGTGGCCCTAAAGTACCACCCAAAACTGAGGCTCTCTTCAACACATCAGCATCCCAAAGTCCCTAGAATATCTCAACAAAAACAAAGGCTCTGCTAGGTAAGGCAAACCCAAGTTGTAAGCGGGTAATATCCCATGATCTCTAAAACTATAATGTAAAGAACTCTTCTTTTACCTACACCCTAAATTACTAAACCACAAGCCCAGCGCGCTAAACCCTAAACCCATTTCCTACATGTCAAAAGCCTAAACCCTGCCCTAGACCCTAAACCCTAAAAACGAAACTCGGACCTCCTCTTCGCCGTCTTTGCCTTCCTTGTCTTCCTCAGCATCATCATCTTCCTCCTCCTCTGGGTCACCGCTTAGGAGCTCGAGGTGAAGCTTCAGGTGATCTCCCCACCCCCACTAAAAGTGACCACTAGGAACATACTGACAATACTGACAGCAATTTTCCCCACCCACGACGAGGGGCCAAGGAATATCAATAGCAATTATCACAGCAATTTGGACCCCTAAAACATCTCAACAATCCTGTAATTATGGGAGTTAACTGCCCGTATGATACCCCTCTAGTCCCCCATACATTCCAAAATGCTCCCCAATTGCATCATGTTTTCTGACAGATTTGGTTTTTCTATTGGCCAGCCGGTCCTCCGCTGGCTCATCTCCAGCCTCCTCCTTCTTGGGCTTCTTCTTTTTCTTTTTTCCTTTGGCTTTCGGGGTTTAGGGCTGTTCTGCTGGCGTCTCAATTGCGGATGACCTTTGGGGGTACAAGGGAAAATCCCAAATAGGATTCAATGAGTGTCTTTTCGAGAATCACCAAGACGACATTTTCGGCTGATCACTGAAATCACGATGACAGCCATTGGCGTGGCATTTTCCATTTTCAGTTTGGCGCTGTGTAGGAGGCATCCAAATTGTAGAGCAGACTGACGGCAGCCGCAAAAACTCCCACACATCCGCCTTCAACTTACTGGTTCTCATATATACATATGTATTCCCCTTGTTCCCTACTCACCACCCGTAAGCTTCTAGACTAAATTTTGCATTTCTCCAAACCGCGGGCTCCCAAAATTCGCAGCTCAGGGATGAAACTAACTCCCCAATGCCAGCTGCTTGGAACTGTCTTGTAACCCTATAGTCCCCCTTAAGTAGACAGAATATGGGGTAGATGGGGATCTTACTATAATATACCCAAAGTCATATTCGATCTACTTCAGGGGGACTATAACCCAGAACACCCTCAATTCCCAAGATTCTGGATCCCCGTGAAAGGTCATGATCCCATGGCAGGTGAGGTGCTTTTCTTGGCTGGAGGCTCCTGGGCTTCTGTCTCGGCTGCTGCCTTGACTTCGGCCTCCTCCTCCGCCTCGTCTCCCTTCCCCTGGGCGTTCGATCGAGAAGCCAAAAATCACAAGACCTTTTGAGCATCAAAGTAATGAAAAAGAAAATGGGAACTACCATAATGGTGAATCAAATTGACAAGAACATGAAAAATGAAATGGAAGCCAGGGTTCAATAAGGGTTATACACGAAGTATAAAGTGTAAAGGCCAACACACTACACCCTGGACTTCAGAGGTCTAGGACAAGCCCAACAAAGATGCTCCGTGCTTGCTCAGGCGGTACAGTAGATGAACTGAGAAATAACCCTTATTTAGCCCTAGCTTAGCTTCCGTTCCATTTCCATTTTCTTTTACATTTCATTCTCACCTATCTTAGTTTCTATGTTCTTTCCCATTTCGTTCTCCGTTATGTTCATTTCCACCTTCTTTTTCACATACTTGGTTCCTTGAGAAGAGGGAAATGTAACCTTGAAGAATCCCAAGCCTGCGGCTTAGGGTTTAGGGTTTAGAGGGTTTAGGTGGATATCCCAATTTTCCAACCAAAAAAAAAAGGAAACTTGCTAAGAAGCTGGAAACTACTGGAATGGAGAATGAGACGGAAAAGAAAATGGAGAATTAAATGGAAGCTAGGGGTCTATAAGAGCCAAATAGGAATCATAGGATTATATTGTAGCTTCCCAAAAAAAGGGGGCATCGCAACATATACGCCAAAATACTATAATCCTCATTATAGGGACCCCCAAGAAGGTACTCTTAATTTTGGGAAAAGGCTAAACTCGAAATCCCCAGCTTCCATTTAACTATCCATGTTTTTCCTTATACTTCCCTATATAACCCCCATGTAAGGAGTTTAGACCCTTGTAAACCCTGAACCCTATCTAGTCCCCTAGATATAACTCACATGGGCCTTCTTCTTCTTTTTCCTCTTCTTTCCCTTGGGGAGCTCTGCAGGCTCTTCAGCCACAGGTTCTGGCTTGAAATCCTGCACCACAATGGCTTGAGACCAGGGTAAGGCTGCCAGATGTGTATTAGTCCCCCTTAAGGTAGATAGAACATGCGGTATACGGGTTTAGGGTTTAAGGTTTTTTTGTTTTTTGGTTTAAGGGGGTTTACGGGCTTAGAACTTAGTATGTAGGGTTTAGGGTATTGGGCCATTCCATATTCTCTCTACTGAAGGGGGACTATATTCATCAAGTGCTCATCCCCTTATATCTAAGTTCCCTCGAACCCTGGCAGAAATCACAATTTCAGCTGGGTCTTGGGTTAATATTTTAGATAACAGCAATTAAGAATTGTGTTGCGGAAATTTCCAGGTAGACACTCTCGTAAACTGTTCTAGGACCATGGCAGGGGAACCCCTGGAACTATCCAATGGTTTGAATGGAAAACCACATTCGGAAAAAAATGCTTCAGGCTACAAGTGATTTTCTCAGCCCTGCCATGGACCCAAAATCTTGCAGTGATCTTGGTCCTTGCCGTCGTCCATGATGACCTGCTCGGCCCAATGCAAGCTCCAATGTTTTGCGAGATAGCAACACCCGATAGGCGGCTTATATAGCGGTATATAGGGATATATTGAGCTTTCGTAGGGGATGTATATATGTATATGTATATGGATGAAAAAGGGGGATATTGGGACAGAAATAGATATATATATATGGGTGGTTGTCAAAATTATGGTCCCTCTTTGGATCCCTATTATGATACGGCCCCTAATATTTAGGGTACCCAAAAAGGGACCATAATTTTGACAGCCACCCATATATGTAGGGATGATATGGAGATATCTAGACGTTCTTACAGAAAGGCAAGAAGCGCAAATGCCTCGTCATCTTCAGAGCTTTCCAGCCCCTGCTCCCTCCGCCGTGCCTTCTCAGCCTGCAAAGCAGCATGTAGCTTCTGCAAGGACAATGTATACGGCCATGTAGGGTATATATATATATATGTAGTTTAGGGTTTAGGGTTTAGGGTGTGTATATATATATATATGTGCGTATAGATATAGATATAAGGCTATATGGAGGAATATATGGGGGATATATAAGGATTGTATAAGGAAAATGGAAAAGAAAATGGAAGCTACTATTTCAGGTCCAGGGTGCTAATGTACGGGCAATACCCCAATAATGGAGGATCAAATGGAAGAAATGGAAATTGAAATGGAAACAGGGTTCAATCTTTGTCTAGGCGGCCCAAAAGGACACCCCGTCCACACACTTGTGAATGTTCTTCAGAAACCACTTACTGCAATGTAGGCTCGCATCGTGCTCGGTTCCCTAAAGACTTTCTTGAAATCTTGAAAGATCTCTCTTCAACAGTTATGAGCAGCTCTGACAAGACTTCATCACAATGCTATTGACAGAAAACACAAAAAAGCATGCATGGGCAATAAATTGTTGGCAACGATTTCGGAGAAAAAATCATTATCCTTAATTCAAATACCAAAAAACAGTCAACGCGGTTCGCCTTTCTGTACGCCTAGCATTGTGTCGTTATGCATGTGTCATCCTCGCAATGTCACATCATGAACTGGTCCGGAACATCCTGAACCCTAAAACCGAAAATCTCTAATTACCTTAACCCCCTCCTGAAGCTTACTCCCTAAACTCTAAAGCTATCGGAAACCAAAACCCTACAAATGGTACAAAACCTACGAAACGTCTACTAGGCCGCAAACCCTATCCTTCTGATTATGATTATACTAGAAATACTATAATTCTCATTACTAGTACTATTGTTGTTACTACCTAAACCCTAAACCCAGGAACCATTGTAGTTCAGGACTTTCGGGGCCTCCTTGGCAGCAAGCTTCTTGGCCTTTCGCATCACCCTCCGGTCTTTCCACTTTTCCTTAACTAACTAGGGTTTGGGGAAATTCTTTCCGCTCTTCTCGAAGGCTTATAGTCCCCCTTCGGCAAGGCCCTGCCAACCATTAGCTGCAATGCACAAGTTCAAGGCAAGCTTCAGCACGAATAGGCTGGGTGACCACATAGAGGGGCGGTTTCTCATCCTCGCCCCCTTGGGAAGGCTGCACCATGGTGACCTTTTGCAAGAACAGGCTGCCAAAGCAAGGTTTGTGCGCATAACCCTGCATGGGACATTTGCAAAGGATTCGGTAGTGTGGACACTAAAGAGCAGCGGCAATGACCGAGGATGCTTCTGATGTCTCGTGTCCAATCAAGGATTCACAGCCCTGGGCCGGAGTGACTCAAATACCAGAAGTGAGCACTAGCCTCAGCTGGCTCTTTCGGACACTTCTTGTTGTGCCCTGCCTCTAAAAACAAAAAAGCAGATGGTCACAACCAGCATACATGCTAGCAACTGCGCTCGTTTAGTCCTCATCGCAGATGTAAGTAGTAGGAATCACAATAAGAATCATACTCGATGTCAACTTGATAGTGGTCATACTAGACCTTCCTTAGTCTAGCAACCCCTAAGTCCGAAAACTGAATCAATTTCAGGGGGCAAGCAGGCTCCCGGACAGGCGGATCGGCTCGTGCGTCTACATGTTTTTGGCTTCAAGCCCAACCGGCAACGAGGATCAACAGTGGGCTACTGGACTCACATGGGGTGCGCAGCGTATCTACGTGTACAGCTTGCGAAAGTTTGAGGTTAATTTTGGAGACAGCATTGAAAAAGCAAGACATGCCCCAAGCTTTCTGGTTCTTAGTAGGGAATATGGGCTAATATGGGAATACATTTCTATGGGGGTTATAATGCTGGACCCTCGTCTTTAATAAGGGCCCCCTTAACATTGGGGCCTTCCGAGAAATAGAAGTTACGGTCCCTCAATAAGGCCCCCTAAGCCTCCCACGATTCTGAGGTCCCTGTGGATTGATTTAAAAGGGATTGTTCAGAATCCTTCCTATATTTGTCGGGCCCCCAAATCAAAACACATTATAGGCGGCCTTGCAATCATTGCCCTGATCCTGAATAAGCAGGCCCAAACCACATTATAGGGGACCCTTTGGATAAAGGAGGTCCAACATTATAAGGATTATTATATTCCCTTATTCCCCACTCAGAGCGAGTAAGCAAGCCCTGGGACAGTCGCGGTCGAGAGCGGCTGTCACGCCAGTCTCTGTCATCATCCTGCAGCTGCACATGAGATCCAGGAAGTGATCCGCCAAATAAACCAAATGGGAACTACTATAGCATATTATGCTATAAAATTGGGATAATGGAAAATAAAATGGAAACTACTATAGTATATTATACTATAGTAGTTTCCATTTCATTTTTCATTATCCCAATATAACGGATACATCTACAATAGAGGTGAAGCCTTACAAGGAACCCAATGATAGACCTGTAGCCAGTTGAATGACAGAATCTGAAGACTGCAAGCCAACCAACCCTGGCCCGCACTAGCCCTGCTCTCATGCACAGGGTGCATTCTGAAGCAAACTGAAGGCATGACGTGAGGGTGATTGGGGGTTATATTGGGGCTATATAGGGGTTCTGTTGGGATAAAGGAAAAGAAAATGGAAGCTACTATTTAGGGTTTAGGTTGTGTGAGCCAAGCTGTTCAGCATGCGACTAGCGCTCGTGAGGCTGGGATCCGTGCAGCACCCCAGCCGTTGCGATCCCCGTTGTCCTCAGTTGCCGTCATGTTCCCCCCATACCTTAGGTGGACCCTCCACCCAGTAATGGTGACGATAAGGGATAATAGGGATTATATTAGGGTCCTCTTATATTCTTATTATACCACTATTACAGGGTGGGGGGTCCTCCTAACCCATACCAATCATTAAGCCCTATACCCCAAGCCCTAAGCCCTATCACCACTGCGAACTTTCTCAGAGCAACCTTGGAAATGCTGCAGCTCAGGGCAACACGGGTCGTCTTCGGTGCGGTGACCTGTGGCAAAAAATTGCTGGAGCATGAGCCTTTCTACACAGAATGTCACAACATAAACTCACATATTATGCCTTTAGGTACGTATAGTTTTTGTAATATTTTCAGATTAAACTTACATATATATATATACACAGATAGATTATCTATATACATATATAGATATAAACATATACATAGATATATATATATATATAGAAATATCATGTGTATATCATTTGCATATATGCATGGGCTGGAGGGAGGGCAACAACAAGTATTGTAGGAGGTTGCATGGACCCTTCTCAGATTATGTCATTCTCAAAAGTGGTGTCGTCACAGGGATAGCTGGGGGGGACCATACCAGACGGACATGTGGGTAATCACCTCTCCTCTTCGATACTTGCAGGTCAGGGTATAGGGCTTAGTTGCTTTTAAGTAGTTTGGGGTCTAGGATTCCTTGATACCTGCAACGGGCATCGGCAGTAGCAAGGGAGCCTGCTGTCATCGCGTCGGTCGTACCAACCTCCAGAGCCCTGCCACGCAGTTCCTGAGCAGATTCGAGGGAGGTTGTATAGGGATAATGGAAAAGAAAATGGAAACTACTGTTTGGTAAATAGAGGTTGCAGAGGGATAATGGAAAAGAAGATGGAAACTACTATATAAGGTAAATAAATGAACAACCATCAGTGGGACAATTATGGCCATGACCCATTTCAGGGTGCTTGAGTTTCAACCTGTACTGCAGTACTCCAAGTATCCATCATGTCAATAGCACACGTTGTTCTGGGCAACCGGCTGCCACTTGGTTGCAGCCTTATAGGCCGACCTCCAGGACATGCCACTTGCAGCACATGATTTGGGATATTGGTGGTCACATCTCAGGAGTCACAGCCTCGTTCATCAAAGTCTTCCCGGCCGCGCCACGACTGCATATCACAGGGCGCTGCTGGTGAAGCCGAGAAGCTCAAATTAAGGTCAATCTGTTCGTGACATTGGTGCGGTGGTCTACTGAGAGACTTAATTACACACTTCCCAACCCATGCGGGGATCGACCTGCCACCTTGACCATGCAGCCTAGCGTTGCAGAGAGATGGCCCTGTGGCAGCCACAACAACTCTACTCTTGGACAGAAGCATCTTCCACGCTTACACTCCTTGCCGCTATCTGTATCTTTAAGTACCTTGACATTTGACCGCATAGCCCGCACACACATAATTACGCAGTGCTACATCAAATAGTCCAAACCTCCAGATTAACCTCAATGATAATCCCCCGGCTCTCACTGCCTCATCTTGGCGCTTCCAGGAATCTTCTCTGCGAACTCGGGCCTGACAGATAGAAGCCGAACATACAGCAGCCAGCGCCAAAAGTGGTCAAACCAGAAATGCAGGCATTGGAAAGCAGGCAAGAATGAAAGAAATTCTGTAGGCTGCCTTCAAGCACCTGAGACCAATGGAGGGCATGAAAGCATTACTTTGAGATAGCCCCCTTTGCCGTATAGCAACGGGCCTGCGCGGGGCTTGGCCTGTCTCGGTCTCCCCCCGGTGGGCGGGAAGCCTCAATGGGATATGTACAAGAGTTTTTCCTACACCTACAGAAGGTATATCAGGATTACACGGGGACTATAGAGCTGCCTATTTGTACGAGTATCTCAAGATCCCGCGAAAGTGAGCCACAATTGACAGCTTCCAACTCACTGTCGACCTCATGCGCACTCATCTCAAGAAAGAAGCTCCTCTGCAACCGTCCCATCCCAAGACCCTGATTCAAAGCCATGTTTACGAACTTGGATGGGTTATGGTGAGGAAAGCGGGCCTATGAGTTTATAATTGAGCATAGCCATCGTTACCCTACTTTTGCCCCCACATATCAATACCTATGCGCCTGCAAGAAATGAACGTCCCTGCCTTGTCTGCAGGCTCTCCGCGCTGCGCATAGGCATGCGAGGTTGTCCGGCCTAGGTTGGACTAGCAGCTGTCGCCTTAGTAACGTTTACAACTACCGTCCTCTCCCACAAGGTTCTAGTCTTCGGTGCTAAGACGATCCCAAGCCCCATGCCTTCTGAGTCCTTGCCACCCACCTCATTAATTAGCAGAAATGAGAATCGGGCCGTCATCAGCACGCCGGCCAGAGGGGCCCATGGGGCCTCTGGCCCCCACCTCGATATTCGTAACAGCAGCAAGCCATATTTGTGGAAAAGGTCAATGCAAATGGAGATGATCATCATCGTCCTTCAATGGTGATAGTGCTGCTGGCGGCGACGGTGTCGTCGAGTAATGTTGCTGTCCGGCTGCAGTAGTGGTGCTGGAGGTGGCAGTTAACGAACTTAAGTTAAGTTACTATATTGGGGACACCATATTATCATTATATACCCATCATATGGTAGCTTGACAGCCGCATTTCTAGGCTGGATGACATCATGGTGGTGGCGGTGGGTTCTGGGTCCGGGTGACGGGGGGCCATGGCCGTGGCAGAGAAAGCGGCTTCGGAGATCTTCGGAGGCAGCGTTTAGATATTATATATTATATATTATATATTATATATATACATATATACATGCGTGTATATATGCATATATGTACATATGCTCTAAGTTCCCTGGACCCCTAATAGAAATTACAACTTCAGCTGGTTGTTAGGGTGATAGATAACAAAGATTACAAATTGCTAAGCAGTTTGTAATCTCTTTTTGCAGGAACCTTCCAAGCTATAGATAGATATCCATGTGCGTGCAGTTGCGCGTTCATTCAATGGACAGGAGGGCACTCCAACTTCAGAAGCAGGAGCCTACAGGCGATCTGAGGCCGCACGCCCCTTCCGACAGCAAGCTGCACCGGCACCAGCGAAGCTAGATTCGACTAGATTTGCGCTTTGTCTGCTTCCTGCTATTTTTGGCTGTGCTGGGAAGAAGCATATACCTGTGGTTTTGCTGAGTGCTTCTCCTTGTCGAGCATCCTCTTTGGCGGTGCAGCATGGCGTGCTGTATGTCTCCCACGTCCGAGCTATCATTCATGCATATTCCCACCCCTTAATTTGAACCAGAATGAGGAACAACACAACAAAAGTAAGGCTGGCATGCGATACTCACACAAAATGCGGGGAGCTTGGCGCCACCGGGCATTCGTTCCACCTTCACTTTTCCGCTAAGACGAGACTAAAGAGCTGGCGAGATCACCAGTCTTCAGGCACAGCTATTGT